AAATAACTTTCCAAGATTGTTGAATCCATTTCTTTTTTATTTAAAAAAATTTGATCATCAATCATAGTCACATGCACAAATCAATTTCAATTTCAGAAGTTTACAACCACAACCCAAAAAGAGACCTTAAAACTGCATGCTTGCATAGTTTTCTATACAAAAAATAAGGGGAAGGTGCAAAGTGACTGAAGCCCACATAGCAAACCAAACAAAAAAAGTCTGCAGGTCCATTGCCCGAAGAACATGGAAAGCTTATTTAAGATGATCCTCTAGAGCAAGATATCACGACCAAAATTTTGAATTAAAGATAATCAGGAATAAGGTAGGTCAAATAAAAATTTCGAATAGAACTTTTCAGCAATTGATATAAATCAAAAGGCAAAATGATGCATATATAAGAACAAGTACTCAGTATATTGGCAAGATAGTTTCGAGCCTTGATGATAGTGCAAATCCCTTCAAAAAGGAGATCTAGCAGGGAGCAGGAGGAATTGAGTATACATGCAGCCCAAAGTATTTTGACACTGTCATAAAAGGATTACACATGTTGTAAAGGGGTGCTACACTTATGTTCTTAATGGCGAGTGATGTAATTATTTTCTACTTCCTACCATCAAAATTGGAATAATTTTGACCATTGAAATCACCAAACTAATTTGGGTTGCATGTATAGAATTGAGTAAATAGCAGTGAGCTCAGAATCCCATTGCTAGGAAATGACAATTCAAACTTAATAGACCTGAAGCACCCAGCCAAAGAAATCCAAAGTCAAGCCCTTGCAACCGGAAAATATGCTAAACAGAAGAGTGAAATGGAAAATGGGCCAAAGAAAGTGAATTATAGACCTAAAAGTAAATTTCGCACAGAACCAAGGCTCAATGAAATGATAAAAGAAATCAAAGTAATTGAAGTTGGAGGCATCCAAATTATCAAGCAAGAATTCAAAGAGAAAGAAAGGAATAGCTCGATAAATACAAATTACAAATATACAAAAAGCATAAAAATGGGGAGAGCCCAAATTATCCTAAATGGAATATGACAAATCGAGGTAAACATTTTGTGCCAGTGAATATGAAAGAAATTAGAACTTGAAAATGATGCAGGCATATTGATATGCAGGATCCAGAAACTCTCGTACATTATTAATGTGAAACTTTTTCCTAAAATGATTATCTTTTGGATTATTATTTACTTTTTGATAAGCAACAAAGGTTAAATTTATAACTATCAATAAACCCAAAAATCAAAATCCAGAACTTTGAATCATTGAGAATCTTATACCCTTGTTTTTTTGCAAGTTAGATTGATGAAAATTTTTGCCATATATTTTATTCAAATATAAGCTTAATGAAACTATTTCACCACCAAAAATGAGATAATATCACAAAACTCTTGTAAAATACAAAATTCGGAACAAATAACTGGTGGCTATAATCCAATTGATTGGAGTGAAAGATGCACTTATAAAATACAACTGAAAGTTTTATACTTAATATAAATAATAAAAATAACATTAATACTGTTCAATTTATTAATAATAATTATGAGAATGTAATTAATTGTTATTGGTTTCTATATAGAAATTTGCCTAAACTAAATTGTGATGATGCCAAAACTCAGGAAAAAAACAGGTTATAGAAACTAATAGTTCGAAATTCAGTTACTTTGCCGAAACTTAATCACTGTGCCGAAACTTCAATTTTTGTTGAAACTATTTTATAATGATTAGACATTTTCTTTTGAAACAAATTAATTATTGTTGAAATACAAGAAATTTTATTATTATTGCAAAACATTTAATATTATTATTATGTAGAAGGTGTTATAATTCTTTGGTTACATTAGTATCAACAAAGGGTAAGTTTGGTGAGGTGTTTGTTTTGGCAGATTTTGGTGTCGTTGAAAAATGCACTAGTTGAATTTCCAAATCTGAAAATCTTCTTAATCTAAGTCTATGATTTCCAAATCTGAAAGAATGCATTTGTTGATAAATTGATAATATATTTAGGAAGATACTTCTCATGCCTTCATTTTCAATTTTGTAATTTGTAGATGATTCTCTCCAAAAGATTTTTATAACATAAAAAATGATTTCTTTTCAACAATTTTGATTAGTTTAAGGACAGGATAATATCTTTATCTTTAAATAAAGAAAGGAAAAAGATTTTTATTATTATTTTTATTATTTGAATGTGCGCATTTATAAATTTATGTTCAACAAAAAAATTTTCCCGTGATAAAATCTATATAGATTTAGTTTTGGCATTTGCTGAAATTTCGTAATTAGGCAAGCTTCTATATAATAGACGGGCTTAATTATTAAAATTAAATCATTTTGATCATTATTATTAAATTGTTAATGTTAATATACAACCAATAATTAATGCCAATACTAACATTAATTATTGGTAAAGTAATATTATCATTATATACTTTGTGAATCATTAGTTACACGAAAGGCTTACACATTTTATAGTTTCGGCAAAAATAATTATGCCTAAAATTTCGGCATTTTGCTTGCTTGAAAATCGAAACTAAATTTTTTAATTTGCCGAAATTTAGTAGTTTAGGCAAACTTCTATAGGTTTCTACGTAATTTTTTTACTCGAATAGTAAAATTGTCAGTATATTGTGAATTAAAATGATTTGCATAACAGAACACTAATTAACATCTTGGTTATGCTCTTGGCATCTTTAAACCAAATATTTCATTTAATAAACAGTGCCCGCTTTTATAGTTCATAATCAATCAATGATAACATTAATTTATTAATTAATTTTCCATTAAATTAAACATTTGGAAATGCAGAATCCAAAAATTCAATTAGTTCTGAAGGGCCAAAAGTCACCACCTAAAAACAAACGTTCAAGGGTACAAAAGCTTTTGAGTAGGTCAAGTAGACAACTTCAAGTAAGTCTTGCTAGAAAACATTAATTTACATATTTGGAGATTTGTTAAATTCCTACATTCTAATTTAATATTGCAACATTACTTTTTCTAATAGACTCAATAATAGACTCGTCAATAAATACAGCAATAATGACACCTGCTGCAATTACTTACTGTAGGAGTTGCAATCACCATCGAAGGCTAGAGAGCCGGTATCCTTCCTTAGTCAACAGTATTAAAGCTAAAGGGTTGACATATCATTGTTAATTGTAGCTTGCTCCAAATGTATAGTTTTTTTTTTTTGCATATTACGGATCTTCTAACTTTTTTCTTTCTTCCAAATAGTGAGATGTATTATTCTTAAACATAGAAGTGAAAAGTAACTTATCTATAAAGTTTTCGGGAGAACTCCAAAAGTATAACAATAGAGACTACACAAAAGTGGAAAGTATATCTAAACTAAGTTCAATATAGTGGATTTCTTTTTTGGGAACGATTTTAAGGAACTTTACAGTTTACAATTGTATATAATTGTAACAAGACCCAAGTAGAGATTCAACTACCTGAATGATTACAAACCAAGCATCTTCTTTTTAGCCTTCTTCGTTCATTATTGCTATATTATTCCGTCTCTTTGATTCTTTTCATTGTCAACGCATTTCTGAATCGCTTTTATCGTTTTTTCCTACGGTTTGTTTTTTACTGATATAAGTTTTTTTACACAATTTCTTTTTCTTCTCTTAGCTGCTTGTCCATAACATGCCATGCTTCGAGAGAGTACCACCATAATGAGAGTGATGAACATTCCATTAACAAAAGGACAAGTTACTGTTTGTCTTTTAAATCCACAAGTTGATAATATAACATCCGGATGTAACTATCGGCAATATTAATACTTTGAAATCCTCATAGTAATAGACTCCCAATAACGAATCCTTTGTTTGAGACGAAAAGTAGGAGTCATTAATGATTTCCAAGCAACTTTCCACCATACCAAACTCATAACGAAAGAAGAACATTATAATTCTAACTCGACTATTCTCTTCAAAAAAAACTCTTTTTCATCTCCCCGTCATGATGTGAAATGGAATATTCAGCAAATTCAAAAGCCTTACAAAGATAGTCATGCAAGCCTTCTGTGACATAGAGAGAGGAATATTATAAAATAATTAGTTAATGGTACAAGAAATTTTTTAAAAAAAGAAATTTGAATGGTACTTTTTGACTAGTCTATCGGAATGTTGCGGCCGACATCACCAATAAATGCCTACTCCAGCTAGAGAAATATTGTTAATGGGATCGAAGTAAATACTGCCATTGTATAAGATAGCCATTCACACATTAATTTAACTGATCCTCCCTCCTTCTAAAGATCCAAAAGTATTTTCTGATCGCAATATCAAGCAATAGTTGATTTTTTCATTATGTTGAGTGTATTCTAATTCTGAGTTTATTAAAAATAATTATATACCTTTTATGATGACACTTTTAAATTTTCTCAGCTTCTACGGAAATTTGATTTAATTTGCACATATAATAGTTGTGGAGCGTGCATTTTTTGCAGGCTTAGAGATTGGTTGCGCAAGAGAGTTAAATATCAAAAGTACAGAATTAAATGGAGAAATTTGGTATTACGTTACAATAATGAAATGAAAGTGAATTGCCATTAAAAAGAGTAGAGTTATATTGATAATTTTCTGATTCCAGGTCTAATTTTTAATTTTCTTTTTGAATTTCCAATTTGTACTTTTTAATCCATTAAATACAGAAGAGCCTCATAAGTATTCTTTTTTTTTTTTTTTTTATTTTCTTCAAGTTTCAACCTCTTCATCATCTGCATAAGTATCGTTAGTAGGAGGTGATGCTAAATATATATGACTCGCATTCTCTCTTGCATCAAATATTTCACACCATCTCCAGTTAGTTGGTGCCGACTCAGCCTTATTATTAACTATCTTTTTTTTCTCTTGCATATCTTACATATGTACGTATTACGTAATTTGTCAAACTATTTTTTGCTTGTTCATTGCTTTTACCAGGCAATCAATAAATGATTGATAAGTTTATTTTTATTTTCAGAGGACCAGCTCTTATGATTATCATTCAGATGTCCATTGAACTATCTTTATTCTCTTGATTTTTCAAAAAAATTATTTTCAACTTCAGATGAATTTAATTGAGGAAAAGATGCTGGATAAATATTTTGTTGATGATGATAATTTTGAACCGTATAAATATTTTGTTGGTAATTTTCATCATTATTAGTAGAAGCTTGCCTTTTGAGCTGGATTGATATTTTGTTAATGTTGATGTTCGAGAATATTATTAGAAGCTTGCCTTTTGAACTGGATTAATATATTATTACTGTCGATAACATAGAGGGATTGGCTGATGCATAATGAAATTGATTGGATAATTTTATTACTACGCTGATCACCACTATTAAATTTTTTTATATGCACAATTTATCAAAATGCTAGATTGAAGACTTCTATTGCCATTGTAACGATCTAAAAAATTATATCCCCATTTGAATTGAATATTTTTATTCGTAAAAAAATATATTTACAGAACGTTGAAAGCTTGCATTGAACTTTGCAACTTGTAATTACAATATAACTTATAAAATTACACTATTAATCCTTTTGCCTAATGAAAAATATTATATAGTTAATAAGATGCTCATTTATTCAACACATTTGCTATTGTAATACATTAATTAACTATAATAAACCATAATAATAATATTCATACCTTCCTTTGATCTAGTAGATCCAAAGCATGTTGCAATCATTTCTTTATAGTAAAACTAGAAATAATTTTCCAAAGTGTAAGAGTTTATAAACACTGTTTTTTTTTTTTTTGTTATAAATATATTACTTTTTTTTTGAATGTTTGGGAAATATTTCTCATCCAACTTATGAATTACTTTACCTTTTACCAAATTATTTTTGACAGTAGAAGGTAATGGGTTGGAGTGATTGCACAATCAATACCAAGTTGAATTAAAGTCAGATGACGGTCAGTTTGTATATATGTGTAACCAATGCATATCATTTCTCAAAATTAAAAATGCCTTCTATGTTACTGTCGATGACGTTAATTATTTGTCCATAGCTTTAGAAGCTACCTCTTGACATTCTTTATTAATTCTCGTTTCCTTGTTTCATTTTTCATTTTAAAATTGTCGTGTGAAATTTTG